ATGAATGAAATTACTATTTAATTTATCAATTAATCGATCAATATAGTCCATTAGGATGGTGATCGGATTATCTGACGGCCGGCACGATGCAATTCGATGCAGTAGCGTCGAGTATTGGAAGTCGGAAGATTAAAAATTAATAACCGGCAGGAATGGACGGCGAACTGCTTTAAAATTTTATTCAAAGGTAATCTAATTAACGCACGCATGCAACTGATCCGGCTTAAGCGCGCAGCACCGCTGAATCATTCATTAAAGATATTACGGTGGCATATTATATATGGAAAGCAATACCGGTATACCAGAAAACCGGTATATTGTCTAATTTTTCGGCGCTATTAATACCAATATTTTCGGTATTTTTACATAAGCATTAGTTGATGCATATTACACTCGAGTATAATTTTCTCGAAAAAAATATCTTTAAATTCCACAATCGCTTAAACAGAGATATCTTTACGTGGTCTATTGTATAAACAAATGTCAAAATACTTTGTCTGAATATTTATTTATTGCTTTCCAAAAGGCTTCATATCTTGTCTAAATAAATAGAATCGGATTAATAAATAATAATGTTTATTTCCTCTTATATTAAAATTTTAAAGTGACATTGTGTATATCATCACGTTTCAAAGGTTTTTGAACATTTTGCCATACTTCAGAAAAAATGGATGTGTGTGTGAGTGTGTTTTGTGTGCCTGCAATTTTTCACATTTTTCAACCGATTTGAATGGTTAAAAAAAATCGATTCCTATTAATAGGGAGATGTGCTGATTAGTTTTAGACGAAGGCAGACAAATTATGCTTATTTAATACATAAAATACAGACAATACAATTTATTATAATAATGTAATATGATGTTTAATGAGATTTTGGTCTTTCTTACTCATACAATTGATTTTGGTGAAAAGTAGTCAATATACTCGATACGGATGATGAGTTAATTAAATTGGATTTATATAAATTTTTTTGACATATTTTGTATTTAAACTTTATAGTTTATGGGTGGTTTTACAAATATAAAATTATAGTTTGCTAGGATATTTTATGACTTATTTATCCAAAGAGATAAATATGTCAAAATGTCAAAATTTCTTTAGTTTATTTACATAATGGTAACTCAAATGTGTTACTTACAATTCATTATGTATTTTATTTTAATTATTTAATGAATAACAATTTTATTAGAATGCAATTTTTTATTCATATGTGCATCAATTTGGTTATATGTTTTATTCGACAAATTTCGACGCTATGCTTCTTTATGTTGTTATATATTGTAAAAGGCACGTTTATATCATAAATTTATATGCATATATATATATATATATATAAATGTATTTAATTGCATGTTATATATATATATATATATATATATATATATATATATACAATTAAATACATTGTATAACTTAAAAAACATATATGTACAGTTCATTAAAATTCAGCCAAAGTACGGTGGAGACGCCTTGTACTTTTGGTGTACCAGTGGGATATAATTTTGAAAAATGAATAGGTCATAAATAGGTTTCTGAGTGTTATTATGATTTTGTGCTAAAATTTTTTATTGAAGTAAAACTTCTTTAGGCGCGACTAGGGTGTAAATCCGTTCAAATGCAATGGAACTCCGTTACGCCCGAACTGTTCGTCATTCGCTCTGGATTCAATAATTCACATTATTGTTAATAAATATTACACATATTTTTAATGTTATTATAAAGATATAATTTATAATTTATCATTATATAAATGTGTATAATGGTTGACCTTAATAAATGTGTGCATCACGAGTGTTACCATATTACTAATAAACATGATTCAAAATTGTTACATGATGTATTTATTTTTACTTAAACGCCATATTGTACTGTAGCAAATAAGTTTTACTTCAATCGCGTGTGAACCTTACGCGCACTCTTTTTTTATATTTTTCATGTTAATTTTTTATATTTGTACAAGTAACTTTCGAATTTGTTCACCTTTTTTAAAAATAATATTAATACCGGTATTACAGGTTTTAAATACAAAAATACCAAAATACCGCCAATGAATTTTTTTTATCGGTATTGCATTTTCTAAATATATTCATGTTGCGCCGGATCGGCTGATGTACCGAAAACATTCGCTAACGATTCTCAGCGCTAATGAATACTGACGAACGTTGCAGATTTTTAATTATATGATAATGACCCTTAATGCTATGTCTTCACTCAACTCGTCCTAAAGTGTTAAACGGATCATTTTATAAAATTAACAGCAGAAAGATTTAGTATTCATGAATTCAAAGTTATAGAGAGTATATATACCTTTTACCTATATATAGAGCAAGTACGCATTGCGAAGAATAGCAGTAAATTATATTACAGGAAAATGCTGGAGGGTTTCCGTTACACAAATTATAGATTTCAAGATAAAATTAAGTTTAATTGAAAGTATTGCGATTTAATGCAAAACTTTTTTTATACTAAATAATTTTATTTTTTTTCAGGAATTTTGAGAATCGATGTTACTTCAAAAAATGAAAATTTTCAAGAATGGATTTTTTTATTTTAGTCTTAAATGTTATCTCATAAATATTAACTAGGGTTGTGTAGATTTTTGAAAATCGGTTTCTTAAAAAAATTATAGTTTTTTAGTAGAAAATAACGATTTCTAATGTATGAATAACACTTTAAAGTTAGTGGTGCATGGCCTCTTGTCTTAAAACAAATTTTTGGAACTTTCCGTACCGAAAATCGAAAACTTTAAAGCTTTTATTTGAAAATACCACTTCTTTTGAAGCATTCGCGCTGCAAGACATCCATCCATTTTTCTAAGGTATGTAAAATATTCAGAAACCTTTGAGAAGTAAAGATATGTAAACATTTTCATTATCGATTTCTTGCTATTATTATAACTTACCCTACAAAAAGTTAATACTTTCATTATCAATTTTTCTAAATTTAAAAAAAAAACAAAATATAAAATTTTGACCATTTATTATAAGTCTTTTGAAAAGTTGCTTACGTTTAGAGTTACGAGATTAATGTAAACTGTTTTTTGTTGAAATTAACACTTTTATAACAATTTGGCAATTTTTTTTTGCATAATTTTATTGTCAATCAAAATAATATACATTTTTTAAGACAATATGATGTTGGTGTTAATGCATTTAAGAGATTATCTCCTATGAGATATCTCTCTTTTTTTATTTTTGACATATTAATAATTATTAATTGTGAGTTAAAGCTATCAAATTTTTTAAATTTTATTGTTATTATATTTTCTACACTTATTTTTCTTAATTGTAGTTATTTTATTATAAATGTCATACATAAGAATCATGATATATCATAATGAATAGATATCCGTACAAATTCTACCCGAAATATGTAAAACATCAATAAATAAGTTGTAAGTTTAGATGATGCACAATAGAATGATAGATTTCAGATGCCACGGAAAAGACGGAAGAAAAGTTAGTGGATTTTCATAGAATATGATTTCAGGTTTATTATATTTAAATATAGTTTCGAAAATACATATGTATGTACCGTATTCGTTCAAAACAAGGGCTTTTCATGCTTATTCATGAAGGCACGGGATGCGAAACGATCGCAATATCCATTTTCTCATGCGACCAAAATAGTTACTTTTATTATTCAATATGTAACGTATCTTCTGCTATTGGATCTAACCCCGGGTACAAAAACTTAGTAATAGAAAAAAAAGTTATTCGGTTATCGTAAAAACTTTCAATATTCACAATACATAATAAAATTGAAACAGTAAAAGTGAAAACGTATATATGGTAATAGTTATTATATAATATTTTTGCAAACTTTTCAAAATTCAAAGTTTTTGTGATATTTCTGAATTTAAAATTCTAATTGTGAATATTAATTTTTAGCGTAGAACATAATTTCGTTAAAAATTTACTGCCTCTTAGATATTTTAGAAAACAAAATGACTCTTTTATATAATGAGATATTCTGTTGGAAGAGTGAAAAATATATGATGAGTTAAAATGCAACCTGATTCGAAAAACTTCTAGTTGGTTTTTGCAATGTATATAGGGGAAGCCGGGTACGGTTGTGCCAAGATACGGTAGTGACAGTCGCCAACAGCTAAACTATACTGATTCGACATAGTGTCCAAAAGGAGAAAAATTCAGTATGTGATTTGGAACATAGTCGTATTGATTTAAAATGTCAAAAAAAGTTATTTTTCCATTTATTCTAATAATAACTTTACCTTCTCTTGTAGGATTTGATTTTATAATTAAACCATCGTGTTGAAGGTTTAACTGTCTAACTGTTAAATAAAATTAATAAAATTATAGCTGATAAAAAAGTGGCACAACTGTACCCAGTCTCCCCTAAGATTTTATATTTTTTTGAAAATATATTTTTATTCTATATTTTCAAGAACTGATACTGAAGAAACTTGAGGTAAATATTATTGTAAAATAGGGGGAAGTCCCGGAGTGCTGGATATTTTACGAAATGTTTATCAAATTATGACATGTTAGATAACAAAATTAGAAATCAAACTCAATTATTAAAAAAACACAATCTTTGCTAAAAATAATTAATACTATCAATCAAACTTTGGTAACAAAAAATATGATTTTACAATTTGACACCTAGTACCGGATTACAAAATAACCAGCATTGAACACATTCGTGTTTGACGAATATTCTTAGATATTGCAAAAAAGTCACTAATTATCCACCCTTTTGGCTGGGTCACACTGATGCTCTCAGATGGATCATTCATCAAAAGATTTTCATTCTTTGACTAGGAAATACGAAAAATGGGGGTATGTAGTGACCGTTAGCATTCATACAGAACAAAATTAAGTAATTAGAATAAATTACGTCAATTCTCACAAAAAATATTATTATGTTTACTGTCCGGCGCTAAGAGTCCACGACTAAATCGTATTTTCTTTTTGAAAAGATTTCGACACGAAAAACATAGAACGATATAAATTTTGGTTTAATATTGTTAGACTAACCTTTTAAGTTGAGGCAAAATAATTTGGCTTGTGCTCTGGCAGGCCTCCACACAATTCCTGCGCAATTTTCTTATGCGCTCACGTAGTTCTGGACAATCTCGACTTTGACCGATGTGGATGAGGAGATCCCTGAACAGCGCCACTTGTCCATTGATATCCAATATCAACTGAAATAAAAGAAAATATTATCAATAAACAAATAATGACATACACTTATATAAAGCACCAAATTATAATAAATTTTGTAGTAAAGCTTCTTTACTATACTCAATTTGTTTTCTATTCTTACGTTGTTAGTACTTGTGGTTGCGAGCATAGTGGCTTAGTTTGAGAGTCCTTAATATAATTTTTAAGTATATGTTTATTTAATTGTTTTATGATATGTATTGTTAATTTTTTATATATGTTATGTAAAACAGTTTCTTTGTGGGTTGGGTAAAAAGGTTTTTGAGATAACGGTGGTGGATCTTTTTACCCACGGATCTTTAAACCACGCTCTTCCGTATATATATATATATATATATATATATATATATAAGCGTGTGTGTATGTGTATATGTGTGTCTGTTTACGTGTAATGTTCCTACGTCCATGACTGAAATAGGTTAATAAAGCAATAGCTCGGTACAAAAGGACTGACTACCTTGTAAAACGTTCAGACAAAGAGCTACTGATCTAGAATGAAGCACCGCAAGACATTCAATTTATCTGTTGAATAATATTCAACTATGAAAATAACCATTAAACGCAATCGTTCTAGACAATTGAAAATCTGTCAAAGAGAGATATTTTAAAATCGTGGGACGAGAGATGTTTAACCATTTACAGATTGAAAGTGGATTTATGTGTAATATTTTGATCTTATCAAGCGAATATGTTTAAATACGGAATAAAGAAATAAAGGGTTGAAAAGAAAGAAAACTAGTTGGTTTGGTATTTTGCCTTGAGGCAAGTTACATGAACTTTCCGATATGTGTAATTAATCGACCTAATCAATCAAAACTAAATCAATTTATGATTGATTAAAAGTATTCCGAGTGGATTTATTACACATAATTGAAAATGAACGAACACTTTGACACGGAGTATTTACTAAAAGTGAATTTTCAGAAATCAGCAATTGTTATAATTGAACCAGTTCCCATAGGACTTTAATGGCTTGATATGTTTATTAAAACCAAGTACTCTAACGTTATACCAAGTAAAATCGTCCAATTTTAATTTTAACAAACGTCAAAAAAACTAATAATATTCTCAAACTGTGATGAATTTTTAAAATTAAACTACTTGTCGTAAGGCCGCAATATTTCAATAACTCGTATAAGACCATGATATATATCATCAAAAAAAGTTTCATAAAAATTGGCTCAATTTTTTTTCAACAGTTAATTACAAGAAAACTGCTCGGTAGATTTTCACCTAAAACTAATCAGTATCATTCCCAACTAATATCTTTCGAACAGTTTTTGATTTTTCAAAATCGATTCGGTAGTATTAGCTTAAATGTGGACGAAAAGTTTAACACTTTTTTTCAAATTACAACGAAACGGCTTGACAGATCGTCGCACAAAATTTACAAACGATAGTCCTTATCGAGATACATCAAATGGTTTTTAAATTGCTGAAATCGGTTCACGCATTTTTGAGAAAACGTCGATGAAAGATCTCATTTCGGCAAATGCCAAAAAACGATACCAATTTTTGCAATCTTTGACGAATTTTTAAAGCTAAACCAGTTGTCGTAGAGCCGTAATATTTTAGTATGATCTAGAAGACTATGGTATCTACCGTCAAAAAAATAATAAAAATCGTCGAAAAAAATTAATAATAATAATAAAAATCTCCCATCATTACGAATTGAATGATTTTTGGATCATTCAAATTGGATGATCCGTGCGCTCGAAAACGTGGACGAAAAATTGTATCCAGACATACAATCACATACATACATCCATTTTTTTCTAAGGTATGCCAAAATGTTCAGAAACCTTCACAGCGTGAAAATATGAAAAATTTTCAATTTCAATTTTTGGACGATCACAATAACTTACCCTACATGCTACTTATTTAATTGAAACTCAATAGTGCTTTGAGGTAAAAAGGGTCAGGAAACGATAGAAATTATACATTTTTTTATTATACAGAAAAATGCTAGATCGGAGACTTTGTTGTTTTTTAAGGTCTTTTTTAATTTTTTGCCATTTGACGCCAATTTTGACTTTAGATTACTTTTCAGCGGTAAAAACTAAATTCGAATACATATGCCGCATACTCAATAAAGACAACTTGTTTTATTTTGCAGACCTGTGCAATCAAACGATTGTATTTTCATAACACTCTTCATTTCTTTAACCTTTGTGCATCCACGACCAGAGCACATTAATCTTTTACTCGGTACTGAGTATCAATTACGATAATATTTTAACCAGGCAAGGATCTTATACTCTATTCAGATATCGGAGTACCCTCCGCACTATCCATTCGAAAATCTTCGAAATTTTTGTATAAGAAGCAGAATCCTGGTAGCATAGGTGTATGATTTATAATATGATAGAGTACGCCTATTAGGATATTTCGAAATAATATGCATATTTTATAATGTATTCCCTGTGCTGTGAATATAAATCATACGATAGGTAACGTTCACTTTGTGATACTACGTAATAAATGTCGCTCAGAAGATCCACACGACACCGACGTGCGGTGGAAGCGGCACGAATAGTTATATTACTAGACATCTAGTGAACATTTTCGAGGACGCCGATGGGGTAATGAATATTTCAAAATGCATCCTTAGCACTTTCAGGCAATAAAATATCTTAAATATACGATGGAAGTCACGCAATATATGAGACGTGATCAAATCGATATATGTACACAATAACACATAAATCAAGAGAACCAATTTCAAAATATTAAAACAGAAGAAATTTAAAATATTACCAAATATCTGCTTGATTGTCGATGAGTTATGAATCGTTGCATATTCAACGTTAAATTTCAATTAGAATATTTTTCTACGATTTTCTGATCTATTTAAGGTCCACAGAAACTAGAGTATTTCATTAAATTCCGCGAAGAAATTTATTTGGACATTTTTGGACACTAGTCCAATGTCATTCTATACTTTATGAGATATTTAGCAAAAAGATCTCATTATTCTAGCGAGAATAGTGATCCAATTAATGTGTGATTAAAACTTGCTATCACACATACGATATTCAAGTTTTTACACCAGCCTAAAATTGTTTTTAGGCGAGTTTATAAATACTCGTATAGTAACGAGATTAAGTGGTTTAATTAAGATGGCCTCATTTAGGATGATGGTGCTGTGTAGTATATATTTTAGCATCGCTTCCGCAATACAAAGAGATTATCTTAGCCCTCTAACGCACGTGTAATTACCTATGGAGACCAGTTAACGGATGACAAAAAGATTTCTTTAATAATCAAACTTATTTAATAACAATACTTCATTTACAAGTATTTGCAGACATGACTGTATTTGCATACAAGCATGTTCCTTAACTAATATCCATAATTCCTGATCTTAAGCTATTGTAGATTTATGGCGAGAATATAGCTATAGCTAGTATTATGTGATCTGGCCTTTGCTGGACTTGCCTTCACTAATAATACTAAATACACAAATAATACTAAAGTATCTCAAGAGTTTGCCAATTGAATACGTATGAATCACTGGAAAAGGCTGTAAGACTCGAGTTGCCTGGACCCCAAGAATCTTCATTAAGTGGACC